ACTATCGACTTAATTAACTCTATACCCCTACCCCCCCCCCCACATCTTGTATTACTTAGTTATTTTAATGAAATACCGTATGAAGATATTTTTCTGTCAAAAACTAGTTCAAACACTCAAAACTGTTTATTTGGTACTATGGTAAATGAAAAGAAAATTTTAGCTTTTTTTTTACTTTTTTCAGTAGTAGATTTAATATTTTTTCTTTTGTTTTCAGAAATAATACTTTAAGTAAAAAATATTCAAATAAAATCATAGTATATATTAAACTCTCTTATAGTTTGTTGTCAAACATGCTAAATTGGCATTTCATAATCTTATATGCATATACAAAAATATATTTTTTATATAACACCTTCTGGGCAAAACATAAATGTTTGCTGTTTTGCTTGTTGGCCCCATTGACCTTAAACAGATTTAAATATTTTCATTTTTTGTGTATTTAAATTTAATATTGCTTGAATACTGTTACTGACATTTCATACTGTTCTTACTGTCTCATATTTGACAAAAGTTAAGAAATGATTTTAAGTTTTACACATTAAGAATGTTTCACTTTGGAGAAAATGGTATTTTTATATTGGGGTGGAATGAAATGTAAGCTTGAATAGTTCACTTTCAGTATAATTATAGGATTTGACAAAGGCAGTAGGTTTAATGATTTTTGAGATAACTCATTCTTTTGTTTTTTTATTGTTTCAGGAAATCAACTTGGTAATGTGAGACTTGAAAAAGTGCACCCTTAAAGCTAATTGTGCAGAATGTGTGATAAAAACATTTATAATCTGTAACATGGATGTTGGCTGAAAGAGAGGCCTAATTGAAATAGTGACTTGAGAGAGCTAATAAATTATGTTAGTACACAAAAAATGGTTCTTGGAAGGGTGATTTTTACTTGCTGTACACCATGAAGGACACAGAAGAAACAGGTGATGGCACAAATGAGGGTACTTTGGAAGAAATGGGGACCATTGGTAAAGTTAGGCATGCACAGGCAAACCCAACTTGTACAAAGTGGATCCTGGAAGCCATTAATAAAATCAAGCACCAGAAACAAAGGCCTTCTATTGACCGAATTTGTAGTGCTGTTCGACAGAGCAATAAAGTAAGCAAGGACTTTATTGTGGAACAGTTGGAATTAGCTGTTGTTGAGGGCACAGTGCTGAAGGTAAATGCAAGGTTTTAGTTTTTATATTTGGTTTCAGAGATTATGATAATTTTAGACTTGTGAAGGAATGTACATGTACTCATGTTTTGTGTGGTACTGATAGAATAGTCCAATAAAAATGATAAAGCTAAGTAATAAAACAGTAAAGATGTGTGTACAATACAGTATTTTCAAGCAAATTTAATGCACTTGTTGGAAATTTGGGATTATGCAAGTCAAGTTTTTGATTTGGTTGCCTAGTCTGGTTTTTATTGCTAAAACTGTCAGTAAGTTGTTTTAAAAGGGAAGTGGATGATAAGGAAGCTTGTTTTAGTGGAAATTAAATAATATTAGTTATCTTTCTTACAGCATTTGTTCATGAGTAATATATTTTTTATTAAATTTTTCATTGATATTGAATGTTTTTCTTAATTCAGAAACTTAATTTTATTATTTAGGTGTACAATAAAGGATTGTGTTCCTATAAAGACCCATCAGGACTATCTCAGGTGAAAACTCCTTCTGTAAGGATAACAGAAGCAACAGATCTGGTGAAGCTGTTGCAGAAAGTAATCAGAGATCTGGGAGATTCTGAAGGTTCAACATTAAGGTCCATAGAAAAATATGTAAAGCAAACATACACTGTTGATATCTCTTCTTGTTTGGACCTCAGTAAACAGCTCAGGTTTGCTGCCAAACGAGCTGTGGCTAGTGGTCGGCTTCTTCAAGAAGGTCGATTCTACAAGGTTGGAAGAGTAGGAGGAACAGGTGTGTCAGATGTTGACTTGCTTGGAAGTGCTTCTGGTAGCAGAAGTATCAAGAACTTTTCATTAGAAAATTCATTACATAAGGTAAGTAAAATAATTCAGATGCTTTGTTTCTTTAGAAGGCTGAACTTCTATGACAAAACTGAAAAACCACTGTTGTATCAGCCATGTTAAAAAAATAGTCCCTGTAATCTGTTACATAAAATCAGTTAGTACTAAAATGTGGAGCTGAAGACTTACTTGAAATATATATCTAATGCAATACATTGTATTAGAAACATGATTTATTGCTGAATAATTTTGTCATGTGCAAAATTAATTAAATAAAGTAGTTTATTTTAGAAATTGCAAATTTATTGAATAATTTGAATTTGAAGCATTTAATGCAAAACTAAGTAAAAGTTTAAATAAAGTTCAGAAAACAGGAGAAAAATAAAATCCTATTTAAGGAGAAAAAAAATCCTATTACCCTGCGTAAAGTATGCCATAAAAATATAGTTTTAGTATAAAATTAACATGTGTGTTTAAATTCAGACATTTAAATTTATAACCAAGAAAGTTATTCACAAGGAGTGTTATAGAAATTTTGAAGGTGATATATAAAAAAACCTAAACAATATTGTATTTTTAAATTCTTAAAGTGGTGATCTAGCCCATCACATTCCAACTTTTTACTTAAGGAGAGCTAAACTGCAGAGGATAAAAACATTGGAAGGTTGTAGTTTATTATTTGTGTGGCTTACTGGAATGTGACTTTTATTTGTGAATGATTTATTTAATGCATAAACTTTAACATGCTATTCATGAGGAGTGTGCAAGCTGAATAAATGCAGTCATGGAACCTAATGCAGTGCCTTCCAGTGAAATATTTACAACCTATAAAATGTTTTCGTTCTTATCTTTTATTTCCTTTATTTTAGTACAAAACTTGCATATTTGAAGATAAACCTATATTTTTAACCATAAACATTGCTGTAAAATTTCCTATACTTTAATCATGTTATTACCATAATAACTACAGACTGTGGAGGTATAATAATTTTTGATGTGCAGGGGATAATTAAGACTTCATTATCAGCATTATCAGACTTTACATTATAAAATCTCTGCTATGGCATACAAAGTAATAATTTCTTCAATAAAATGTTATTGATGAGTATAGGAATTTACACTTATTATTATTAGTCAAATATAAATTATTTAAATATATTTAACTATTTGGTTTATGAAACAACTATTTGCTCTATATTTAAAAAAAAAAAGAACGTTTATTTTTGTAGTGGGCCACTGAGAGGCCTACAAGTGTGGCCTGTGGGTTGTCAGTTAGACCACACTGGTCTAGCCAAGTCTTTTCAATTGATCATTGTCAAGTTGAAGTCGTCTAGCTATAACATAAATTGTTAGCTCTCTTTCTCATATTTAGGAAGCTTAACGTTTTTTATGGTTATGTTCTGTTTAAGTAACTTAGAGGTACTTAGAATTGTAACAAAAATGACTGAAGTTCTGGTAATAGGTAATTTTGATCATCCCAGTCATCCTAATATAGCTTTAATTATTTTAGTAATTTATAAAAGTAAAATTTTATAATAAAACATAATAAAAGCATTTTTATTCTAACCAGCCTTTGGGAAAATAAGATTATAAGAGAATAAGCATCATTGGATGAATGATTATGGTTTTGAATACATATAATTTGTATACATTATTAATAATCAACAAGGCATTGTATTTTTTAACGTACCTATGTTTAGATTGCTTTGCAGTTTTTTAATGAAAAAGTTTGAAAAATGATTAAGATAGTGAATATTTTATCCAGTGTTTCTGTGATAATTATGTTCACCAATATTTAATCTAAATATAATTTCACGCAAATGAAATGTATGAGTAATACAATGTAACTTAGAAAAGAGGACACACAGATTAAACATCATAAATTAGAAACATTAATACAAAATTCGTTGTGTTTTTGAATTTTTAAGTAATGTTTTGCTCAAGATATAATCTCTATTAAAGAAAATTGAATAAAATTGATATACGAGTTTATTAACAATTGTAATAATTTCGTTTGTGTGGATAGTTTATACTAAATTTTTGTAGTAGTAAGAAAAAAATGTTTACCGTAATTGTATCTGCTTAGAATAATCATACTTAAATATCGTGTTTCATAGATATCTTACAGATTTGTATATTTTTGAAGTGTACAGTTGGTTTTTCATTTTTAAAACACTCGCACATTACTGTTCCTTTCAAATTATATTTTATATAAAAGTGGGTTTTTTATATATAAAAGAAAATTTTAAATATCTGCTGAAATCAGCTATTATAGATAACTATGATGATGTGACAATGGCGCGTTGTTTACAAGATGATACAGGAAAAGTAATTAGATCAAGCTACTGATAGGTATAATTTTGTGACTTGTTTGGTTACTGGATTTGTAGAACCGCGGAAGTGTGATTAAACAAGTCAGTTATACAGTATCAACAATGTCTGGCTTTGATTCTTCCTTTTGCAGAACATTATATATTTTTAAGTGAAGTGTAAATAGGGATGTTGATAATGAGATATTATGTGTAGTTTTTTGCTCACCAGCTGTGTAAGCACGAAAGATTAAAACGTTCTTCATAGTTTAAACTACCGCTACGCTGGTGTTCGTTCAGCATGACCCTCTGAGCCTGGTGTGTGTGTGTTTGTTATAGCTTTGGTATCGTGTGTATATTGGCAGGCGGGCTTTAGTTTGCCATCTGCCACATGCTGTTGAACAATTTTCCCCTACCCATGTTTTTTATCTTCTTTCTTTAACGGTTGCGAAAAACATTGTGATTTTAGCATTTTTAAATTTGCGCAACGGAAAAACCCACAGAATATTTTCACTCTCACCAAAATCAAAATTTCAAACTTAGCAATTTGTAAACATATTGCGATAATAGGAATTTTTAACTGGTGTGGGTGTTTTTCTTTTCTTGTTCACACTTTATTAAGAGAGTAGGATTATTATGCAGATTTAGAGTTGTAAATTGACTTTAAGTTCACATAGTTGAAGAACAACCAGCAAAATTCGTTTAACAAAAATAGTAATCATGTGATAGAGAAACCTGTTATATTTGATATTTTTAATGAACGAAAACTTCGGCTTAAACTAGCTCAAAGAACAAATATTAACAAACATTTTTTTTTTTTACATTATTTGAAGTGTGTAACTGTTTTTTTTTTTTTTGACAAATGTTGCATCTTTAAGTTTCTAAGCGTTAGCAGACACACCCATGTCTTTAACGTTTTGTAGATGTGGTTTAAGGTTATATTTCAAGCTAGGTCAGTAGTTAAGTTTCAGTTTTTTAAATACACTTTTCCCTTCTCGTACATTGGCGTGTTGGCATCTAGTCAGACTGGTTTTCAGAGGTATTTTACTGGGGTAGGAGGTGAGACTACCAACGATCTTGTGTTTTAAGATATACTGCTTTGAAGAAATTCAAGGGGGGAGGGGAGGGCATTTTTGAACTTGAAATGTATCTTGTTAATATTGCAAGATTTAATATATATACATATCTATACACACAAATTAAAACCTCCTGGTTTCAGTTTTTGTATATCAAGAAACAAAGCTATGAAATATATGATAATAAATTCATACAAAGTTTATATGTTAACATTTCTTTATATCACTATTGCCTATTGTAGTTGAAGCCTCAGATAAAATTATCGCTTTTATTATGAAAATGTTTTTCAATATCTACATAAAAAGATAAGGCGTCGTTACACTTTTACTTATTTAAACGCTACAGCAGTTTTAACAACAGTGACTTCAGTATACGATGAGTTTGTTGAAATGTTGATCATGTCTTCAATTATTATATTATTGTGACTTGTATTGGTTTGTTTGGACAGAAATAGATAATTAAGCTAAATGTACGTATACGTAATGTGTAATGTTCGAATTTGCACATATATATATTTAGAGGGCGATTCTTAAGAATGAATATGACAGAGGAACGCCAGTATGATGTTACTATATAAAATACGTTATCTTTACAAAATAGCTAAAAATAGCTTTAAGAATTCCAAAAATTGTTCCAAATAATTTTAAAATATAACATCGCGTGTACTGTATTATTATAAAAAAGGGGTAAAAAGAAAAACAGCTGCAAATGGTTGTTCTCTTTCAGTGTGTTACATGAAGGTAATGCACTTAAGTTATTATCATGAAAAATTAATTTTTTTTTTATTCTTCAGAATTGCAAACACTTTTCACGTGAAAGGTGAAGAAATTGTACCGTGATTATTGAATGTACATTTATTTATACCTGCGTGTGATATCAGTATTTCTTTTGATGCAGTTTATTTTCCAAGATAAAATAAAACAAACCTAAAACTTGTTTTTAAATATCAATTACTTATAGAAACTGTTGAATTTGTTTTAATATATTATTGAGTTCGCAAGAACGAAATTTACTATGCTCATAATTGTGTTGTTGTTGGAATTCAACTATGACACGATTGTGTTAATAAAGATAGTGCACCTTTAAATTTCAAAGTCCTTCTATTTTACACTTTTGGAATTTAGTTCACATGCTAAGATTGAAAGCATCTGTAGAAAATAAAAATAAATCATATTATGAACTTAAAAACAAAGTTAAACAAATGCTTTGTATTTGTGCGAATGTTTCTCATTGATGTTGAAAATTATGGCATACATGTGTATATTATTTCACATGTGACTGCAGAAACCAACTTATACTTAACTGTGTCACCGTATGTGTTACTAGGTATGAAAGTTTGTAAGGTAAAAATATTCGTATGCTTCTCTGCATTCAATACAAATTAATCGCATAATTATACTGCTAATCTGTTACTTTGCTGGATTTACCTCAAAAAAATATATAAAAAACTAAATATCTGAAAAAAAGGCTGTTGTGTGGGTGTGTGAGATGCATTTGAATGTTAATTACATCTTATTACTAGTTGTGCTACATTAACATCACAAGTATATAGACAGATAATACCGTTGAAAAGTCCATTATTCTTTGATTTTACGCCTGAATACTGAATTTTACTAGTAATTGCTCAATCTGTCACAAGTATATTCC